TATATATATATATATATATATATATATATATATATATATATAGATATATATATATATATATATATGTACATATATATATATATATATATATATATATATATATATATATATATATATATATATATATATATATATATATATATATATATATATATATATATATTCCCGGTTTAAAAATACTAGCGGATATGAGACCATTCCGGACCCTTAATAGGGTTTCCTAATACGGTTTTATCACGGTTGACTGTTGATCAAAGAAATCTTCAAATACCAATGAAAATGTAGATCAATTTTCTAGTTTTAGTTTTGTGTAAGACAGTGAATTATCTTATATATATATATATATATTATATATATATATATATATATATATATATATATATATATATATATATATATATATATATATATTAGGTCTTGTTGTTACGTAATGTCTGCACTTTCATATAAAAATGCTAATGCTTTTATGAAATGGATATTAATGCGCGTCGTAAACGGGGGCATTTTTCATAACACGTCAATGTTATGACTGAAGTTTTGCTTCAAGAATGAGTTCTTTTTTATGGCTAATATATATACACACGCGCGTTTATTTACAATGGAGAAGGCCTATTATGTAGGCCTATTATGCAATGCTGATACCAAAGGGAGGAGGGAGAGGGCTGGAAAATGCAATTAATTTTGTCCTGTGTTTACGTTTATTCAATTTATTATTATCAAAGGCAAACATGGTTTGGGTTTGGGTATTTAAGAGTTTGATGCCTCGGCTAAGCGCAAAGCTATGATGAGACTAAACTGAACTCAGAAAAGCAAAGTCATTGGTGGTAATATTGTGATGGAAGGGAAATGAATAGCAGTAATTGCCTGTCTGCCTATCTGTCTGTCTGTGTGTAGGTGTATGTATCTATCGTTTTTGTACTGTGGCCGATATTTATCTGTCTGTCTGTCTTCCTGTCTGTCTGGTTCTACTACCCATGTGTCTGCCTGCCTTTTTGTCTGTCTTCACATTTGCTTATCTGCCTTCCGGTTGTGTCTACCAGCCTGTATTTGCTCCATGTGTCTGTGCCCGATTGTCTGTCTGTCTGTTTGTCTATCTGTCTTACTGAGTGTCCTTCGGCGTGTTAGCAAAAGAGGATATTTGGAAAAAAGCGACACTTTGGAATATTATTCTGCCGGCCACTTTGAATGTGTTTATCAGATTAAATTTAATGTTTTACCATTGTTTAAAAATTAAATTGTATTATTTGATTACCGCTGTTTGCTTGCTTATGTGTGGAAATTGGGTTGTGTGTGTATGTGTGTGTGTGTGTGTGTGTGTGTGTGTGTGTGTGTGTGTGTGTATTATATTTATATATGTGTTTGTTTATACATGTATCACACTATTTTGTCTAAACAATGCCAATTTCCTATCAGTTATAGAAGCCTTTATGCCCCGCAAAAAATAGTAATAAAAAAAATAAATAAAAATAAATGAACGTATATCTCACTCCTTGTTCTCTCTCTCTCTCCCTCACAGGCACTGAACAAGACTTTCCCGGATCACACCTTCCTCATGAACGGCCTCATTGTGGGGATAAAGGTAAGAGTTACGATGAGTGGTGGTTTGTGAGGTAAATTGTTTTTTACTCTGTTTTTTATTTGTTTTTTTTGTTGTTGTTGTTGTTGCTGTTCTTTTGTTGGGATCACTTTTGTAGTGATAATGGTAATGGTAAGGATTATTCTTGTTATTGTGAGGAGTGAGTGGGTGGGTGGGTTGAGTGAGTGGGTGTATATGTGTGTGTATCTGTGTGTGTGTGAGTGAGTGAATGTGAGTGTGTGTGTGTGTGTGTGTGTGTGTGTGTGTGTGTGTGTGTGTGTGTGTGTGTGTGTGTGAGAGAGAGAGAGAGAGAGGGAGAGAGGGGGGGGGGGGGGGGAGGGGGGGGGAGAGAGAGTGAGTTACAATGAATGAATGAAGGAGAAAGGGAAGAAAAAGGGAAAGAGAGAGAGTGAGTGAGTGAGTGAGTGAGTGAGAGAGTTACAATGAATGAATGAATGAGAAAGGGAAGAAAGAGGGAAAGAGAGAGAGAGAGAGCGAGAGCACACACCCTCCTCCCTCCACGTGTACCCTCATTGTATGATAATCCTCTCCTTTCTGTACCTGTACAAAGGAAGCAAGTCGTCCCCTCCCCCCCCCTTTTTAGAACCTTCGTCTTTCTGGTACAATAGCTTCCCTTTCCGGAATTTCCCCTCTGAAGCATTGCTCTCGAATCTTACTGATGTGCGAGACTTTTGAGGGGACGGACGAGGGGAGAGAAAGAGAGGGGAAGGAGAGAGGGGAGAGGGGATAGGGTGGGGCGGGAGGGTAGGTGTGCGAGTGGGCGTCTCCATCGCCGTAACTTTCGCTTCTTGGTTTCTTTTCCTCTCTTTTCTCTGCTTTCGCCCTTCTCCGTTTTTTTTTTTTTTGTTTTTTTTTCCCCTCTCGCCGTTTCTTCCTTCTCTCTCTCTCTCTCTCTCTCTCTCT